CCACCACCGATCAGCTCTTCTGCAGATGGCAGGAGGTTCTGGGGCAGAGGAGCAGGGGAAGGAAGAGGCGGAATGAGGGCGGGGCGCTCTTGGGAGAGAGGGTGCAATGGGGCAGGGACAAAGCAGAGTGGGAGCGGGAAGAGGTGGGGAGGTGGGAGGCCTTGGGGGAAGGAGTATAGTAGGGCAACTTCTTGCCAAAGGATGTTGTGAAGACCAAAACTATAATGGGGTTAAAAAAAAAACAAAGAATAAGGTAAGTTCATGGTGGATAGCTCCTTCAATGGTTATTAATCAAAATGGTCACGGATGCAAGCCAGTGCTCTGGGTGTCCCTATGCCTCTAACTATCAGAAGCTGGGACTGGATGTCAGGGAATGCATCATTAGATAATTTGCCCTGTTCTGTTCATTCACTCTGATGCATCAGGTACTGGCCACTGTCAGAAGACAGGATACTGGGCTGGATGGATTATTGGGCTGACACAGTATGGCTGTTCTTATTTTGTTTCCCTAGAGCCTTTCTTCCCTGTCCCCAGTAAAGTTCCCTGTGTTATACTGTTATTTTTGAGTGTGGCCTTTCATTTGTTGGGACTTGTATTAGTGTATTATGTTGTTCATGTGCTGGGTTATATTTCTTGTAAATAGATAAGTAATATTAGTCATATAGGAAATATTACATTCTTCAGAATGCTCTTCTTTCTTTCCTAGAGGAGGAGAAGCAAACAAACTCAAATAAGCTGAATTATAAGGAGGTTTTTGGTCTGTAAAGAAGATGTGAAAGAATACACTTGTCTACCTTACAACAAGATCTCTCTTGAGGGCTCCCAGATGAACCATGAAATGGTCAACCACACCCGTTCCAGAGCAATTCTAGCTTTCCCAGCCATACCACAGAGAAAGAAGAGACGAGGAGAAAAAGATGTGCAAAAAATGATTTTGCAAAAACGAAAGAGTTAGATTAGGTAGGTAGCTTATGTCAATAGCTTTGTGTGTCAGTGCCTGCTTCTGTGAAGTACTGAACATCCTCAGTTCATACTTGGCCAAATCCCTAAATCTTATTCAGGTGTAACTCAGGGAGGAAGCACGAGCAGGAGAGTGCAAGAGTGGAGGATTCCTGTCTCAGACTGAGAAAGCTGGACAATCAGCGAGTTATCTTAAGTGCCTATACACAAATGCAAGAAGCCTGGGAAACAAGCAGGGAGAACTGGAAGTCCTGGCACAGACAGGGAACTATGATGCGATTGGAATAACAGAGACTTGGTGGGATAACTCACATGACTGGAGTACTGTCATGGATGGATATAAACTGTTCAGGAAGGACAGGCAGGGCAGAAAAGGTGGGGGAGTTGCATTGTATGTAAGAGAGGAGTATGACTGCTCAGAGTTCCGGTATGAAACTGCAGAAAAACCTGAGAGTCTCTGGATTAAGTTTAGAAGTATGAGCATCAAGGGTGATGTCGTGGTGGGCGTCTGCTATACACCACCAGACCAGGGGCATGAGGTGAATGAGGCTTTCTTCTGGCAACTAGCACAAGTTACTAGATCACAGGCCCTGGTTCTCATGGGAGAATTTAATCACCCTGATATCTGCTGGGAGAGCAATACAGTGGTGCACAGACAATCCAGGAAGTTTTTGGAAAGTGTAGGGGACAATTTCCTGGTGCAAGTGCTAGAGGAACCAACTAGGGGCAGAGCTCTTCTAGACCTGCTGCTCACAAACTGGGAAGAATTAGTAGGGGAAGCAAAAGTGGATGGGAACCTGGGAGGCAGTGACCATGAGATGGTCAAGTTCAGGATCCTGACACAAGGAAGAAAGGAGAGCAGCAGAGTACGGACCCTGGACTTCAGAAAAGCAGACTTTGACTCCCTCAGGGAACTGATGCGCAGGATGCCCTGGAAGAATAACATGACGGGGAAAGGAGTCCAGGAGAGCTGGCTGTATTTTAAAGAATACTTATTGCGGTTGCAGGAACAAACCATCCCGATGTGTAGAAAGAATAGTAAATATGGCAGGCGACCAGCTTGTCTAAACAGTGAAATCCTTGCTGATCTTAAACGCAAAAAAGAAGCTTACAAGAAGTGGAAGATTGGACAAATGACCAGGCAGGAGTATAAAAATATTGCTCAGGCATGCAGGAGTGAAATCAGGAAGGCCAAATCACACTTGGAGTTGCAGCTAGCAAGAGATGTTAAGAGTAACAAGAAGGGTTTCTTCAGGTATGTTAGCAACAAGAAGAAAGTCAAGGAAAGTGTGGGCCCCTTACTGAATGAGGGAGGCAACCTAGTGACTGAGGATATGGAAAAAGCTTATGTACCTAATGATTTTTTTGCCTCTGTCTTCACGAACAAGGTCAGCTCCCAGACTGCTGCATCGGGCAGCACAGTATGGGGGGAAGATGACCAGCCCTCTGTGGAGAAAGAAGTGGTTCGGGACTATTTAGAGAAACTGGATGAGCACAAGTCCATGGGGCCGATGCACTGCATCCAAGGGTGCTAAAGGAGTTGGCGGATCTGATTGCAGAGCCATTGGCCATTATCTTTGAAAACTCATGGCGATCGGGGGAGGTCCCGGATGACTGGAAAAAGGCTAATGTAGTGCCCATCTTTAAAAAGGGGAAGGAGGAGGATCCGGGGAACTACAGGCCAGTCAGCCTCACCTCAGTCCCTGGAAAAATCATGGAGCACGTCCTCAAGGAATCAATTCTGAAGCACTTAGAGGAGAGGAAAGTGATCAGGAACAGTCAGCATGGATTCACCAAGGGCAAGTCATGCCTGACTAACATAATTGCCTTCTATGAGGAGATAACTGGTTCTGTGGATGAGGGGAAAGCAGTGGATATGTTATTCCTTGACTTTAGCAAAGCTTTTGATACGGTCTCCCACAGTATTCTTGCCAGCAAGTTAAAGAAGTATGGGCTGGATGAATGGGCTATAAGGTGGATAGAAAGCTGGCTAGATCGTCGGGCTCAACGGGTAGTGATCAATGGCTCCATGTCTAGTTGGCAGCCGGTTTCAAGCGGAGTGCCCCAAGGGTCAATCCTGGAGCCAGATTTGTTCAATATCTTCATTAATGATCTGGAGGATGGCGTGGACTGCACTCTCAGCAAGTTTGCAGATGATACTAAACTGGGAGGAGTGGTAGATACGCTGGAGGGTAGGGATAGGATACAGAGGGACCTAGACAAATTAGAGGATTGGGCCAAAAGAAACCTGATGAGGTTCAACAAGGATAAGTGCAGAGTCCTGCACTTAGGATGGAAGAATCCCATTCACTGTTACAAACTAGGGAGCGAATGGCTAGGCAGCAGTTCTGCAGAAAAGGACCTAGGGGTTATGGTGGATGAGAAGCTGGATGTGAATCAACAGTGTGCCCTTGTTGCCAAGAAGGCTAATGGCATTTTGGGTGGTATAATTAGGGGCATTGCCAGCAGATCGAGGGACGTGATTGTTCCCCTCTATACGACATTGGTGAGGCCTCACCTGGAGTACTGTGTCCAGTTTTGGGCCCCACACTACAAGAAGGATGTGGAAAAATTGGAAAGAGTCCAGTGGAGGGATTGTTTAGTCTGCAGAAGAATGAGGGGGGATTTGATAGCTGCTTTCAACTACCTGAAAGGGGGTTCCAAAAAGGATGGATCTAGACTGTTCTCAGTGGTAGCAGATGGCAGAACAAGGAGTAATGGTCTCAAGTTGCAGTGGGGGATGTTTAGATTGGATATTAGGAAAAACTTTTTCACTAGGAGGGTGGTGAAGCACTGGAATGGGTTACCTAGGGAGGTGGTGGAATCTCCTTCCTTAAAGGTCTTTAAGGTCAGGCTTGACAAAGCCCTGGCTGGGATGATTTAGTTGGGATTAGGTCCTGCTTTGAGCAGGGGGTTGAAATAGATGACCTCCTGAGGTCCCTTCCAACCCTGATATTCTGTGATTCTATTATTCTATGAAAATTCTGAAAAGCATAGATAGTTCTCGGAAAGATTTGCTTGATGTGCATCAGCAGTCAAAAACACTAACAGAATGTTAGGAACCATCAGGAAAGAGATAGCTAATAAGACAGAAAATAACATAATGCCACGATATAAATCCATGGTAAGCCCACACCTTGAATACTGTATGCAGTTCTCAATACCCCATCGAAAAAAATGTATGTTAGAATTGGGAAAAGTATAGAGAAGGGCAACAGAAAGATTAAGGGTATGGAACAGCTCCCATACGAAAAGAGATTTAAAAGACTAGGACTGTTCAGCTTGGAAAAGAGATGATAAAGGGGGAATATGAGAGACATCTATGAAATCATGAATGTTGTGGAGGAGGAGAAAAGGGAAAAGGGGACTATTATTTACCCATTCGCATAACACAAGAACTAGGGTTTACTTGATTGAATTAATAGGTTTAAAAGAAACAAATGGAAGTACTTTTCACACAACACAAAATCAACCCGTGGAAGTCATTGCTAGTGGATATTAAAATTTGCCAATTGCATTTTAAACATCTTGAACATCATAAATTAGCCAACTTCAGTGAAGTGTTGACCTAATGATGATGACCTCCTGAGGTCCCTTCCAACCCTGATATTCTATGATTCTATGAAATTCATGTGGAAAAACATTTGGATCCTGTACTTTTGCTATCAGTACATTTGACAGCATTGTGTTCTCTCTGCTGCTATCAGTCAGCTTCTCCATTGTTTCTTTCAAGCATAATTAACCTCATTCACTTGGAATATGACAGTTTTTTCATTGATTCCAAAGCCAAAAGTGACCATTTTGATCATCTAGTCTGATCACCTCTAGAAACACAGGCCAGGAAATGCCTCAAAATAATTCCTAGAGCAGAGGGTTGTTAAAAAAAAAACACAAAAAACAATCCAATCTTGATTTAGAAATTGCCAGGATTTGGAGATACTATCGCAACCCTCGATAAATTGTTCGAATGGTTAATCACCCTCACTATTAAAAATTTACACCATATGCAAATTAAAAAAAAGAAAATTAAGTTAACTTACTTTTCCTTTTTCCAAGTAGTAGGATGACGGTCACACCACTGGACAGCAATAAACAGATTAAGTTACCTACGGAAAGATAGAACATGTTACTATGAAAGGTGATGTGTGGAATGTGCCCCGAGCGTGAACAGAAAGAATAGTGGTATTGGGGATGTGTTAGATAACAGAACTTGAAATGAATGGAGACACTTTACAAAAGTTCAGGAATGTGAGAAATTCCCAATATCTCAAAATTTAAGGTAGACTTTGTTTCCAATGCTGTTACTTTGTCATGAAAAAAATGCATTTAAAAACATTCATAAATTCAGTCATTGGATGGGTAATGAGTTTAATCAAAATTCCTATGCCTCTTCAGTTTTGAAATAATTCTTTGCATTTATTCTAGAGATGAGCAGTAAAATCTCTGCAATAATCTTTGAATGCTTTAATTCTAATTAAAGTACAGAGCTGGATTAGGGGTCTTTTGTAGCTCACTCAGAAGGCCGAAAGAAGGCTCTATGGTACAGAGGGAGGGGAAGGACTCTTGTTAATTTCTGGAGTGCTGATACCAGTGTGGTACTCTGCTAGGGAAGAAGTAATTTATAGCCCTCCCAGGACCCCAGCCGTTCCTGTGGAGTAGATTCAGTCTCCTGCAGCCCTAGTTTAAGGATGGTGCAGTGGCTGAGTGTACAATATATGTGAGGAGGGTGACATTGGAGGCTGTTGAGCGGTGCTCTGTTGCTGGATGGTGTGAAGGCTTTTCCAGGGCAGTTTGCCTTCTTTAAAATCCACCACTGAAACTAGACCGCTAGTGAAGAGACTGGACAGCAGGATAAGGAATCTGTATCCCTGCTGTTATGTTAAATATAGAGCTAAGACAATAGTACAAAGTCCTGGACTTCCTTTCCTATTGGTGCCTCCTCTTCCATCCCTCTCCCTCTCATCACTGCCTTTCCCCTTTATCACTGTAAATTTTTCCTTCTTTCCCCCATCCCCAAATTAAAAAAATTAAGTTGGTTAATAAAAATTCCTTGTGCATCTGTAGGGCCCTCCATTTGAGGATCTGAGTGTTTAACACACATGAATGAATTAGTCTTAAAATACCTTGTGAAGTAGGGAAGCATCATTACCCTACTTCACACCTGGGGAAACTGAGGTACAGACAGGTTAAATGGCTTGCTTCAAATTACACACAACTCTGGCAAAGCAGTCCACCTCCTATGACTCCTAGCCTTGTGCACTAACCACAGGACAACTCTTCCACCCCAACAGCAGCTGCCTTGCACTGCTGGTGAACATCCCTTTCTGCCCTGCAATTGTGGGAGTTCTCCCTTCTCTCCTGAAGTCATAATCCACACACATCACTTACATGCAAAGTGGATAGTAAAAGTTTGAGTTAAAAGCAGCACTTGCAAAAGCTCTCACTACTGGTATAAGGGATTCTTCGTAAAGATTCAAAACAAACACAAATTCCTCACAGGAATTCTGAGACCTTCAGAACTGAAAAGGTACCAAGCATTATCCTTGTCTGTCCTGTGGCATGTTTTCCTCTGCTGATGCGCATGCATTCTCATTCAGCCTGTTGTTCTCTGCTGGGAGTAACACTGCCATAAATTCAGGTACTCTGTGTGTGTGTGTGTGTGTTCTTTTAGATTTATCCAAAAGTATAAGAAAAATAGGGTACAAAGCATTACAATGTGATTCTCCCACACTCATTCCTATTCTAATTCGAATAAAGCAGTAGAAATTGTGCCCTTAAATTAGAACTTTTTATAGGGAACCGGTTGTTAAGATTTTGGCAGCTCATCCCTGATCGGACCTCACCGAATCATCGATAAACTCAATTCAGCAGTATATAAGATTAGAATAACAGGAGGCAAGTGTAATAAAGACAAAATCTACCATGCTAATCAGTTAAAGCTGTATCGATCATTCAGGTCGCAGGAGCAACTTCCTCCTCAGGACTTAAGTGAACAGCATCTGACGAAATCACAACAGCTTGAGCCCAGCAGATTACAACCATGAAATTGACTTTGATATTTCTGACTTACTACACCCTTATCATTGCTCTAAGGGTAGGACTGAGTCAAAATCCTGAATATGGGACTGAACTTTTACAGCCCCAGGAAACCAGACGACCCAGTCGTGCTCAATTGCCTGAGCACAGGCAAAAAAGGAACGGACTTTTATACTCAACCCAGAACTTATCTACTACCCGATCCAACAGGTTAAGGGAATTAGGGGTGAAAATGTCACCTTTGAATATCAATTGGTGGGAGTAACTTTGTTACTATCCAGTAGCTGGAAAAAGATTTGGCCCTTAGATGACAACTCAAATGGGGGAAGATGTAATACCTATACCTCCTCAACAACGAATTCAACTTCCCTGAAACATGGAATACCTTATGGAACTTGAAGAAACAAAGCCAGTTGTAATAATTTGATAATGTGGGGAAGTTTAACCTTATATAAGCTTGAATATGAGGATGAAGGATGATATAAGGTACTCATTATAGCTACCTTTCAAACCAAATCAGGAAGCAAAAGAGATGTACAGAATATGACATTTGAACTTAAGGTTTGGGATCCAATCATTGACTATGATTATGATAATTCAATATCAAATGATGTAAATTGCCAATGTTAAACCCAGGACCTGCTAGTGGTCTCACCATAATACCCATAATAGGGGAAGTGATTAATCAGGTTTGGTTTATGCATATTCCTGTAGTACTAAATTTATCTAATTGTTATTTAGGAGAATTTAGCTATTGTCAGCATACCAAAGTGGCTTCCTTTTTCTCAGTACGACTTGTGGATAGAATTGTAGCCTATCAACAAGGAGTGTGAGATATTGTTCTGTTGGGAATGTATAATGAAATCCATAAGCCACATACTCCGAGAAGGAAGGGTAGCTTGAATCTCCTTGGAGGTATTGGATCTCTAACAGGACTATTTGGTTTAGGAATGTCGGTTTGGAACTGAGGAGATATTTCAAAAATTCGCAAACATATAGATTATGTATTAAAAGAGGAAGCCAATGGAGTGGTCAATCCAATGTTACAGGGAATAAAGGGATTGGCGCAGGAAGAGCGATTTACTGTTCATAATAAGCACGATATAACCCAACTGTTTAATGAGACTCAACGAAAAATTAATTAGCTAATTGCTTTAAACAATGATCAGCACAGAGATTAACATGTAGAAAAGAGATTATATGTTCTGCATATGGGGAATATGTTGTAATTACAATCACTCATGCATTATGATCCTTAAGATTGGGAAAAGTTCCTGAGTTAATTAAAGATGAGCAATTGTTAAGTTGGTACTGTCCCAAGTGTTTTCAAGAACTGGAAAAGGAACAATCCACTTGTTTGGAGTCATGCCAGCATTTGCCAGTGGGTGCTATGAAAGAGATGGGATCTGTGACACCTCACCCCAACCAAGACAGTTGTTCTCTTTTGAAAGATTGTATGATGGCATGATCCTTGTATGTCTCATTCAAGGTCTCGTTACCAGTGTTTGACCCAGACACGGATGTGTACAGGCAATTGGTTGCTGTCCATTCGAACACCTCGAAGGTCACCTCAAAGACGACATCTATAGGGAATGCATTAATGCACCTCCCCTGGTGGTCTATCACACTCCAACTCAGACCTGGAAAGGGCCACAGCTGGCCTGTTGTTCTGAGAAAGGGCCTCAGTATATCTGTAGGTGTAACATGATTGAAACAGACACTGTTTTGTGTGGACTACAGGGAGAGAAAATGCAGAATTCATCATCGTCATGCCTGGTGAGGCTGACCAAGTGGAAGACTCTGATGGAGAGGGTGACCTATGCTAGAAGTAACCAATTTTGCGTGGCTAACAACCAAAAGAGGACCAATATGGTCCCTTAGAGTGTAATGTCACAGAACCAAATTTTTGTTTTACTCCAGAGCAACCCACTTTGATACGAAATCAAGCTATTTCCCCTATTCCCACTTTTGAGAACATCACCATTATTCAGTCCAACCCATACTATCAGGATTTAACTATCCAAAACACATCCACCTTTCTTGACTACATTCCCCCACTAGGGTTACAGATAAAATCATTACTGACCCATAAGGAGACCCACCTAATACAAATTACTAATTATATGAACAAAGCCCAACCAGTTATTACCCAATTAATGAATGAGGGGAATGAGCCTGAAACAACTCCCAGAGAAAATTTTGGACTAAAAGAATGGGTGATTATCCAAGGAATTGCAGTTGGAATTAATTTCCTTATTTTAGGTTGCCTGCTGTATAAATCCAACAAACCCAAGCCAAAACCAAGACGGACACCTAGACAGGCACCATGTGTTGAGTAACACAAGTATGTATACATGGTGCCCACTCCAGATATATACCAACATGTACCCAGGTATGAAACTAATACAAAATCCTCTCTATGTGACGTGGTTCATTGGTGCACACCACCCTGTCAAAGGGGTGTGTGTAGTCTAAAGGATTAATCTGCGTGCTTGCATAGATATATCTTTTCTTATAAGTTTAAATATTTGATGTATTGTAATAGGTTCATAGATTTAGATTAAAATAAATTTAGCTGTAATGCAAGAGACCTACAGGCCAAAAACCGGTATGTTAAGCTAAGGCAAAGTTAGCATATCTATATTAAGACCTTTTTGCCCAGAAAGTAAAGTTAACCTATATCTTGTTACCTAAATAGATAAGTACCCACATCTATGTCTAAGATCTTTTACCCAGACCAATAGACAATGAAGAATGGCATACGGGGTTTATCAAAGTTGTACCCACAGACTTAAAAGGTACACCACAAGGAAACTTACATGTGTACGAACATCATCAATACCCATATACATACTAGCCTATAGGATAAGTGTACCCAAATATTTATGTGGATGAGGAATGAAATTTGGACATAAGAGAGAGGATTTCCGGCACTTGTGCCCTATAAAAGAAGTGACCCACATCGCTATCTTATCTTCATCTTCAACTAACTATCAATGCTATCCATCCACAATGGCTATTAACTAATAGTAGGCCGTACTTATTTTCTTTTCAAACTTTAAGTTCCAAGTAGACTAGGCTAAGCTTGGTTTCCCTAAACTTTTGTTGTTAGTTTGGTTTATTAGGTTTTGATTTTAAGTTTAAGTTAGATAAGTAAATTCCAAGTTAGCTTTGACAGCTCTTTGTATTAGTTTCCTTGGCACACCTCTGCAAGAGGTGAGAATCTGGAACCGCTAGAGGAGAGGTCCTCTGTCTTTCAACACCAGGTTATCAAGACAGGGTGTGCGTATATTAACCAAAATTTTGCAGCACATAATATTATATTATCATATGTATCTCTTGAATAACAGCAATACAATTGTAACTTTGTAATTCTGACTATTTTACCGTTTGCTTACTATTTCATTGATTTTAATAAAAAGTCTTTATGACTATATCTGTCACAGTGTGAGGTTCCTTTGTATATTCTCTAGAGCCTGATTCGGGACAAGACCTTTTATCTTCTCATCAAAGAGATTGGCAAACTTAAAACCCAAACTAATTAATATTCATCATCAAATATTATTATTATTATTTATTAATTAAAATTAAATTGAAATAAATTAAATTGATACATTAAATCAATATTATTAACACACCCTAGATCAGGCAACAAGGAGAAGCAAATAAACTGAAATAAGCTGAATTTTAAGGAGGTTTTTGATATCTAAACAAGATGTGAAAGAATGCACTTGTCTACCTTACAGCAAGATCTCTCTTGAGGGCTCCCAGATGAACCATGAAATGGTCAACCACACTATTCCAGAGCAATTCTAGATTTCCCAGCCACACCACAGAGAAAGAAGAGACAAGTAGAAAAAGATGTGCAAAAAATGTTTTTGCAAAAAAGAAAGAGTTAGATAAGCTTATGTCAATAGCGTTGTGTGTCACTGCCTGCTTCTGTGAAGCACTGAGCATCCTCAATTCATATTTGGCCAAATTCATAAATCTTATTCAGGTGTAACTCAGGTAAAATTCCCAAAAGCATAGATAGTTCTTGGTAAACATCCACTTGATGTGCATCAGCAATCAAAAATGCTAGCAGAATTTTAGAAACCATTATGAAAGAGAACAAATAACATGATGCCACTATATGAATCCATGATATGCCCACCCCTTTAAAACTGTGTGCAGTTCTGGACACCCCATTTAAAAAATTGTATGTTAGAATTGGGAAAAGTATAGAGAAGGGCAAAAAAAACGATTAAGGGTATGGAACGGCTCCCATACAAGAAGCGATTTAAAAGACTAGGACTGTTCAGCTTGGAAAAGAGATGATAAAGGGGGAATATGAGAGAGATCTATGAAATCCTGAATGCTGTGGAGGAAGAGAAAAGGGAAAAGGGAACTATTAATTACCCATTTGCATAACACAAGAACTAGGGGTTATTTGATTAAATAAATAGGTTTAAAACAAACAAACAAAAGGAAGTACTTTTCACAGTCAACCCGTGGAAGTCATTGCTAGGGGATATTAAAATTCACTAATTATATTTTAAACATCTTGAACATCATAAATTAGCCAACTTCAGTGAAGTTCATGTGTAGAAATATTTGGATCCAGTAGTTTTGCAATCAGTAAATTTGACCAGCATTGTGTTCTCTCTGCTGGTGTCAGTCAGCTTCTCCATTGTTTCTTTCAAGCAAAATTAACCTAATTCACTTGCAGTATGACAGTTTTTTCATTGATTCAAAGGCCAAAATAGACCATTGTGATCATCTAGTTTGATCACCCCTAGAACACAGGCCAGAGAACTGCCCCAAAATAATTAGTAGGTCAGAATTAAAAAAAAAATCCAGTCTTGATTTAGAAATGGTCAGGGTTGGAGACACCACCCCAACCTTTGATAAATTGTTCCAATGGTTAATCAGCCTCTCTATTAAAAATTTTCACCTTATGCAAATTAAACAAAAGAAAATTAAGATAACTTACTTTTGCATTTTTCAAGAACTATAATGACGGTCACAGCAATAGACAGCAATAAACAGATTAAGGCACCTATGGAAAGATAGAACACGTTACTATCACCACCATGTGGCCTCAAACATGGGAAGGATTTCTAAGTGTTGCAGTTTTGGACCTAAACAATGTTGGAATTTTGATGGGGTATGAACAATGATGGGATATGAACAGATGTCCCTGCCAGGAGGTGTGGACTCTACCTAAGTGCCCCCAGTTTGGTTTTACCTGTTCCTCCCCACTATTCAAAGACAGAGTGAAACAGGCTCCATTAAGAGTCTTTTGTTATTTAAGTTCTCAGTAAGAGCTGAACTCACGTGTGGTGGGACAGCATTTCTTCCCAGCCTGCTAAGAGTTAAAAGTCAGTAAGAGCTGACAGTCACTAAGAGTTGGGTGGACTCTCAGAGGTCACAGCAGAGAGGCAGGTGGCAGAAGGTGACCGGCGACTGGAACAAGTGGGGGAGGAATAACGGCTGGCAGGGTGGCCAGGAGGGGAGAAACCACGGATAGCAGGGAGGGCAGTAGGGAGGAACAGCGACTGGTGGGGCAGCAAGCCAGAGTAAGTGTTCAGATGATGGAGAAAGCAAGGTGCCTTCTTCCCCGGATGGGAGGTCTACTCCCACAGATGCACCTCTGAACCCTGGGTCCTAACCAAGGGCAATCACTGTGAGTGCAATATGGTGGAGGAGCAGAGATGGGCACATAAAAGGAAGTTTTGGTTGTAGAATTCAAGAACAGGAGGCAGAAGACTCTGCCCCACACACTCTGGGGGTGGTGGTGTCCCGCTCACAGTTTTTCTTTTATCAATCCTGCTTGTGGCATTTTCCCCAATTGATGTTGGGTGACTTCCCTCCTTTCATTAAAAGTTAATTTCCTACACTCAGACCCTGTGCCTGCGAATGGGGAAGTTTTGCCTCTCAGAGGTACCCAGGGGTGTCATTTCCCCAGGTTACTGGGTGGGGGCTCAAGAAAGTTTCTGTTGTATTGTTGAAAAGGATCCTCAAGATATTGATCCCAGCCCTGGCTGCTGCCGGCTCCACCTGGGAGAAGGGTAACGACAGAATAACTATGGGCCATGTTGGTGATCTCCTCTTCTGCTGAGTGTCTCTTACATGCTCCAGTGAGTCTCAGACAAACTGAACCCCTCCACACTAAGTTTTTTTCCCCTACGAAAGAGGAGGGTTCAGCTGACTACCATGTTATGGCCTTTCACCAGGATGTCAGAAATCCCTTTAGCTGTCCTGGGATCCATACAACTGCAAATGCTGAAGGGGCTGGTGAGGGGGAAGTGGGGATAATGCACATTGCTCCCCTTCCTACCCCTCTGATTGCACAGACAGGACAATACCGCACATCTTTAACCTTTAATAGGTACCTACCTTCCTGCCTGGCCCTTACACAATGAAAGATTCAGTGATTATCACTGAGTATTTTCAGAAAACTTAGAGAAGACAATAGGTAAATAATATCATGACACTTTTAATAGCTGATGCCCATATTAGGAGAGTTGGATTGTGTCCAACTGAGCATTTTTCTATTTAATAGTGACTATGAAGGTTCTTGCCAAAATTGTTCAAAAAAGGTTGGTCTCTAATTTCTTTTCTAATCTTCTATACGGGGCGGATGGGCATATGACAAGCCTCATAGACTGAATAGCTGGTGCAGGCTATTGAAGACATTGCACTTATTTCCACTATCGAACATTTCTGCGTGATAGGCCCAGACCTGTACTGGAGAAGGAGATTGTTACAGAATCACACTGCCCAGAGGAGACCTCCAGTGGGATTGTGATTTAAGGGGTGAACAGTTTCTCCTTGAGATCCCAGGCATGGAGAGGGACAAAGCACGCTTAGCACCCTGCTGCCAGAGACGAGGGAGGCCAGGCAATTGCTCTGGAAAAGAGCATCCTTTTATACAAAGCCCAAGACTCATGAGTATGAGGCCTTATTTCCCATCAACCTTGAGCTCTGTGGCCACTTTACTCTCAGGTTTGTGAGGTGAGAACTCTCCAGAAACCAGGGAAACATCCCTGGGAGGGACCCTGCCTACCACATGTCCCATACTGTGGAAATGCCAGGCTCTTCCCAATTCGACTGCAGCCACTGGGGAAAACTTACGTTTGTGCTCCCACGGTTTATCTGGAAAATAGAAAACACAAAGACTTTTCATTATATTCACAGTATGATCTGATGAGGAACCTAATCCTGGTCCTTCTCATGTAAATCTTTTTATTGATTTCATGGGAAAAGAACTGGGCACTGGATTATGTAATTATAATTCTCTGGCAAAAGAATAACTTGATACACCCTCAAATGTGTGATTGTAAAGTTCACTTTTTCCCCTTGGTTTTGTCCTATGAAAAAGGCACAAGGGTTTGCACACGTTATTCTCTCCCAGAAGAGAGAGTCTCAAGCAAGACACAGGAAACCTCTCCCTCATACATGTGACAGTGATGTAAAATTAGTGCAGTCCTAGGGCCAGAACCAAATTCACCAAAGTCAATGGGAGACTTTCCATTCACTTCAGTGGATTCTGAATCAGTTACTTGACAGCAGATTCACAGAAGAACATAGCCATCTCAGTGCCTCTTTAGGTGCCTAAATCCAGCATTGAAGCATCACTGACTTTCTCAAAGCCAAATCTGAACAACCAACTAACCCTGTAAGTGCCTGAAGTGCCCATGGTTTCACTTTTGCTCTGTTTGAGCTTGGAGCTGGGAGATGAGCACCACAGCCTGAAGAGTCTGTACTGAACTCCCACTCCCCACCAAAATTGGGACTTTGAACTATTGTGAGCTTTAGTGGGTGACTGGGGAGTGCCAGCCCTGCAGAGACCAGCAATCAAGGGGAATATAACCAACCCAGGGGCAGCTACTTAGAGCCATCTGGGACCTTCCCAAGACTCCACAACAGGGAGCCAGGAGAGGAACTAAAACGTGTTTGTGGGAAAGGTCCCTGAAGAGGGACGGGTGAACGAATAGGCAGGAGGGATAGATATGGAATTACGTATCCGTTGCTGATGAATTGCAACGGCCTTTTGTCTGAGGTGATATTATGCCATGTTGGGTAGAATGTGGTCATAGAATCATAGAATATCAGGGTTGGAAGGGACCTCAGGAGGTCATCTAGTCCAACCCCCTGCTCAAAGCAGGACCAATTCCCAACTAAATCATCCCAGCCAGGGCTTTGTCAAGCCTGACCTTCAAAACCTCTGAGGAAGGAGATTCCACCACCTCCCTAGGTAACCCATTCCAGTGCTTCACCACCCTCCTAGTGAAAAAGCTTTTCCTAATATCGAAACTTAACCCACTGCAACTTGAGACCATTACTCCTTGTTCTGTCATCTGCTACCACTGAGAACAGTCTAGATCCATCCTCTTTGGAACCCCCTTTCAGGTAATTGAAAGCAGTTATCAAATCCCACCTCATTCTTCTATTCTGCAGACTAAACAATCCCAGTTCCCTCAACATCTCCTCATAACTCATGTGCTCCAGCCCCCTAATAATTTTTGTCCTCCGCTGGACTCTTTCCAATTTTTCCACATCCTTCTTGTAGTGTGGGGCTCAAAACTGGACACAGTACTACTGATGAGGCCTCACCAATGTCGAATAGAGGGGAATGATCACGTTCTTCAGTCTGCTGGCAATGCCCCTTCTTATACAGCCCAAAATGCAGTTAGCCTTCTTGGCAACAAGAGCACACTGTTGACTCATATCCAGCTTCTCGTCCACTGTAACCCCTAGGTCCTTTTCTGCAGAACTGCTGCTAGCCATTCGGTCCCTAGTCTGTAACAGTGCATGGGATTCTTCGGTCCTAAATGCAGGACCATCAGGTTTCTTTTGGCCCAATCCTCTAATTTGTCTAGGTCCCTCTGTATCCTATCCCTACCCTCTAGTGTATCTACCACTCCTCCCAGTTTAGTGTCATCTGAAAACTTGCTGAGAGTGAAGTTCACGCCATCCTCCAGATCATTAATGAAGATATTGAACAAAACCATCCCCAGGACCTACCCTTCGGGCACTCTCCTTGAAACCAGCTGCCAACTAGACATGGAGCCGTTGATCACTACCCATTGAGCCCGACGATCTAGTCATCTTTCTATCCACCTTATAGTCCTTTCATTCAGCCCATACTTCTTTAACTTGCTGGCAAGAATACTGTGGGAGACCGTATCAAAGCTTTGCTAAAGTCAAGGAATAACACATCCACTGCTTTCCCCTCATCCACAGAGCCAGTTCTCTCCTCATAGAAGGCAATTAGAACCTTCTAAGAACCTTCATAGTCACCATTAAATAGAAAAAAAACTCAATAGGATACAGTCGAACTCTCCTAATATGGGCACCAGCTATTAAAAGTGTCATGATAGGCAATTAGGTTGGTCAGGCATGACTTGCCCTTGGTGAATACATGCTGACTGTTCCTGATCACTTTCCTCTCCTCTAAGTGCTTCAGAATTGATTCCTTGAGGACCTGCTCCATGATTTTTCCAGGGACTGAGGTGAGGCTGACGGGCCTGTAGTTCCCCGGATCCTCCTTCTTCCCTTTTTTAAAGATGGGCACTACATTAGCCTTTTTCCAGTCATCCGGGACCTCCCCCGATCACCATGAGTTTTCAAAGATAATGGCCAATGGCTCTGCAATCACATCCACCAACTCCTTTAGCACCCTTGGACCCATGGACTTGTGCTCGTCCAGTTTTTCTAAATAGTCCTGAACCACTTCTTTCTCCTCAGAGGGCTGGTCACCTCCTCCCCATGCTGTGCTGCCCAGTGCAGCAGTCTGGGAGCTGACCTTGTTCATGAAGACAGAGGCAATAAAAGCATTGAGTACATTAGCTTTTTCCACATCTTCTGTCACTAGGTTACCTCCCTCATTCAGTAAGGGGCCCACACTCTCCTTGACTTTCTTCTTGTTGCTAACATACCTGAAGAAACCCTTCTTGTTACTCTTAACATCTCTAGCTAGCTGCAACTCCAAGTGTGATTTGACCTTCCCGATTTCACTCCTGCGTGCCTGAGCAATATTTTTATACTCCTCCCTGGTCATTTGTCCAATCTTCCACTTCTTGTAAGCTTCTTTTTTTGCGTTTAAGATCAGCAAGGATTTCACTGTTAAGCCAAGCTGGTCGCCTGCCATATTTACTATTCTTTCTACACATCGGGATGGTTTGTTCCTGCAACCTCAATAAGGATTCTTTAAAATACAGCCAGCTCTCCTGGACTCCTTTCTCCCTCATGTTATTGTCCCAGGGGATCCTGCCCATCAGTTCCCTGAGGGAGTCAAAGTCTGCTTTTCTGAAGTTCAGGATCCATATTCTGCTGCTCTCCTTTCTTCCTTGTGTCAGCATCCTGAACTCGACCATCTCATGGTCACTGCCGCCCAGGTTCCCATCCACTTTTGCTTCCTCTACTAATTCTTCCTGGTTTGTGAGCAGCAGGTCTAGAAAGGCTCTGCCCCTAGTCGGTTCCTCCAGCACTTGCACCAGGAAATTGTCCCCTAAACTTTCCAAAAACTTCCTGGATTGTCTGTGCACTGCTGTATTGCTCTCCCAGCAGATATCAGGGTGATTAAAGTCTCCCATGAGGATCAGGGCCTGCGATCTAGTAACTTCTGCTAGTTGGCGGAAGAACACCTCATCCACCTCATCCCCCTGGTCTGGTGGTCTATAGCAGACTCCCACCACGACATCACCCTTGTTGCTCACACTTCTAAACTTAATCCAGAGACTCTCAGGTTGTTCTGCAGTTTCGTACCAGAGCTCTGAGCAATCATACTCCTCTTTTACATACAATGCAACTCCCCCACCTTTTCTGCCCTGCCTGTCCTTCCTGAATAGTTTATATCCATCCATGACAGTACTCCAGTCATGTGAGTTATCCCACCAAGTCTCAGTTATTCCAATCACATCATAGTTCCTTGACTGTCCCAGGACTTCCAGTTCTCCCTGCTTGTTTCCCAGGCTTCTTGCATTTGTGTATAGGCACTTAAGATAACTCGCTGATTGTCCTGCTTTCTCAGTATGAAACAGGAGTCCTCCCCTCTTGCCCTCTCCTGCTTGTGCTTCCTCCCGGTATCCCATTTCCCCACTTACCACAAGGCTTTGGTCTCCTTCTCCCTGGTGAACCTAGTTTAAAGCCCTCCTCACTAGGTTAGCCAGCCTGCCTGCGAATATGCTCTTCCCTCTCTTTGTTAGGTGGAGTCCATCTCTGCCTAGCACTCCTCCTACCACACCACCATTCCATGGTCAAAGAATCCAAAGCCTTCTCTCTGACAGCACCTGCGTAGCCATTTGTTGACTTCCACAATTCGTCGGTCTCTACCCAGGCCTTTTCCCTGCACAGGGAGGATGGACGAGAACACCACTTGCGCCTCAAACTCCTTTATCCTTCTTCCCAGAGCCACGTAGTCTGCAGTAATCGGCTCAAGGTCATTCTTGGCAGTATCATTGGTGCCCACGTGGAGAAACAGGAAGGGGTAGCGATCCGAGGGCTTGATGAGTCTCAGCAGTCTCTCTGTCACATCATGAATACTAGCTCCTGGCAAACAGCAGACCTCTCAGTTTTCTCGGTCAGGGCGGCAGATAGATGACTCAAGTCCCCCTGAGGAGGGAGTCCCTGAGCACCACCACCCTCCTCCTTCTCTTGGGAGTGGTGGTCGTGGAACCCCCATCCCTAGGACTGTGCATCTCATGCCTTCCAATCGGTGGAGTCTCCTTCTGCTCCCTTCCCTCAGATGTATCATCTACTCCAATCTTTGCATTAGTACCTGTGGAAAGAACATGAAAACGGTTGCTCACCTTTATCTCCATTGCCGGTACATGGACGCTCCTCTTTCTTCTTCTGGAGGTCACATGCTGCCAAATTTCTTCACTGTCTCTCAGTCCCCTCTGCGCAGCCAGCTCCGATTCTTCAGAACTTTGTGCCCGTAGAAGCATATCCTGACATCTGTCCAGGAAATCTTCATTTTCTCGTATGCAACGCAGGATCAATACTTGTTTCTCCAGACCTCGAACCTTCTCTTCCAATAAAGTCAGATGGTCAGCAAACTGATGGATAGTTTCTGGTGGTGGCAGCATATGGTCAAGGTGGAGTTGTCTCGGGGACTCGATCAAGTTATCAAAACTGCACTTTTGAGGTAGGTGGGTGAGATGTAGATGATTGTGATTGGGGCTGTCTACTTTTAAGGATGTCTCTGTTATCTTCACTTCAGGTCCTAATGTTGTTGAGCTGGAAGGGAAGCCAGAGGTCAAGATCTTTGGGTAGGCTGATATCTACCTGGTCTTTCCTTCTGTGCTGTTTATCAATGCTGCGTGATCTCAATGCTGCTTTTGAATCTTTTAGGGAATGAAGGGATTCATCAACACAGTTGGCAAATAGTTTGGAGCTTTGGAATGGCAGATCCTCTACTGCATCCTACACTTCCTTTAAGAATCCCAACAGGTGTAGCCATGAACTCCGTCTCATGACCACTGATGTTGCTCTTGACAAAGCCTCATAATAGGAAATTCTGAATTATAGAGTTGACATTGAGAGATCTATCCTCTTCCAGTCTTTGTCATTGGGGGTCATTTTGGAGTGATGTTGTCTCCCCCTTTTATTCTATGCATTGACTACCAGAGAGTTTGGTATGGGATGTGAAAATAAGAAAATCAGAAGTCCATGTCCATTGCATTAGCAGATGTTGGACGGTTGGGGTTGGCATCACTGTGTCGTCCGGTGAAGATGATAAAAAGTTGGTTCGAGGTGAAGTTTCCTCCTCTATTCTCTCCTCATCCTCCACAAAAGGTCCTCCTTTGGGTTCAGGATGTCTGGATTCAGACAAAGATGGGGCATGTCTAGGTCTCTCCCTCTGACTAACCAGACTGCCAATCTCTCTGTCTCATGCCTTTGTCAGTGTCTATCCTGTGCCGCACAACCAACCCCCCTCAGTTCCTTCTCTACCACCTGGTTCATAAATTGAACTCAGAAGTAAAGGGGAGAAGGGTGGGTAGTGGAACACTCATTGAGTCACCATCTTGAATGGCCTCAGTTACTACATAGAGTGAGTAACTTTCTCTTCTTCTTCGAGGAGTGTCCCTGTGAGTGCTCCACTGCAGGTAATTGTCAAGCAGTGTCCCGCAGTGGATGGAAGGGGCTTTGGAGTTGCATGAGTAATTGACAATAATAAAGTAAATCCTACCAATGTGTCCAATCTTGAGATCTGATCTATTGCCTAATGTTTTGTAAACATGTTTGGGGATGCCCATGTGGCCACTTTATATATATCTTTGATTGATAAGAGAAATGCTACTGTGACTGATATTGACCTGGTGCAATTGGTTGGGAACCATGGTGAGAGTTGTATATCCTCCTGTTCTAGCAAAGGTGGATGCATCCAGAAATCCATTTACACAGTAACTGCTTGAAAATGGCAAAACCTGTAGGTCATTCCAAAACTGAAATAAAAAGTCTTGGTGACTATAGGCAGATTTTGGTTCTCTTAATGTAGAATGATCGTGCATGTCTGATATCCAGGGTATATACTATTTGGTTCTGTTTGCTCCCATGAGGTTTAGAGAAGAACAAGGAAGATGGACTGGTTGGTTTAATTGGAAAGAGGAGAGTATAGTGGGCAAAAATTTAGTCTGATGTCAAATATTTGTTCCTCATGTACTTAATTATAAAGTGTGATCAAGACACCCCTTTTCTTTGTTTAGCACAATAGATTGAGCTCCTGGAGTCTATCACAACAAAATGCTTTCTAATCTTTTAATCATTTCCCTGGTTCTTCTCTGAACCCTCTCCTATTTATCAAGTTCCTTTTTCAATTGGGGACACCAGAACTGGACACATTATTCCAGTGGCAGAAGCAAAGACAGAGCTAAAATAATCTTCAGAGTCCTGAGAAAGAAATTGCACCTGGTCAGATTACAGACAATGTGTGTCTGACTGGTCCAGTCATGGGACAGGAATGGTGAGTGGGTTCTTGAAGGATATCATCCTGGGGAACAGTAGGTGGGATCGTATATAAAGGGGCTAACAGCTCTTCCTGGAGATCTCAGGCATGCAGGGGGACAGCACCCTCAGCATCCTGCTGCCAGGGGCAGAGGCATCCAGGAAACTCTTCTGGCAGAAAGGCACAAGACCTCTGACCATGAGACCTGGCATCTGTCAGACTCTTAGGATTTGTGGTTATTCTGGCATGCTCTGCACTCTGCTGTGTGAGGGGAGAACCCCACTCATTGATGCAGGATGCAATTAAAGGCCCCTGAAGTTTCCAGCAGAAGTTTCCCATCCAAGGGGATGCTCTGGCCTTTCCATATTAAGAGTTCCCCCTCTGACTTTCATTCCAAAGTGCTGGTGAGGTCTCAGCTCGATGACATACCATGATTCCAGAGTAAACTACATAAACCCTCCACTTCCCATATACACGGGGCATGCAATGAGAACATCCCTTCTGCAGTTGAAGTTGTTGGAACCAAAACAGGGCACACAAAGGTTGCTCAGTGGACTGTAACTATTGAGTAAAGTAGGCAAACTCACCCATTTGCTCCTGGAGTTCCTCTGCAAAAGAAAAATGGGGAGGAGAAGAAAACAGTTCAGTGTATGTCCATTGACTTATGAATCGAAAAGGGTGAATGAGATCCTTTCTTTGTTGATTAGCACAAATATTGGCCATGGGTAGTGAGCTAGCTTTTCAATCCGTGGACTAGACCCGTTCCTATCCCGCTATGTAGTAGACAGAGAAGATTATATTCTGACTTTAATCAATTTAAGAAGAAGCTTCATGGCCACATCTAATTAGCAAAAGGTGAATATGACACTCTACGCTCCTCTGCTAATATGGATTCTGCTATGAAAGGAGCAGTAACACCATTTACATCATGAGCTGCATTCCATTTGCTTATTTCAGTGCAGAGTCCTTTCAATGTGTACATTGTCTTTCATACTGTGTCTCTGCAAGAGTGTTATGGTTCTTGGAGAATACAAACCAGGAGTGGGTGAGTCTATTTAAATTTCAACTATGTATGAGCAGCACTGCTCAGACCCAGCAAGTGCTCATATATGTTATTGACAAAATGAGCCAAGTAATCAAAAAGAAGAGCAGAGCACATGGAAGAAGAAGGGCACAGACTTACTTATTGTCTTTTCCAAGTCCCCTAAAAAAGAAACAAATATATTTAAAGATAACAATAGCACCCTTTGTAATAATATGGCCAAGAACAAGGGTAACTAATAGTTAAAATATCAAAAACTGTATTTATTGGAGAATAGCTGTGAGGGAGCAAGTGACACAATGAACATCATACTGTCTAAGGCCGGAAGGAAGCACTCTCATCATCTGTAACATGTGCAAGAGAACTTCCCCCAAACAATTCATGTTTGCATTAGAGCAGATCCTTTAGAAAAACCATACAATCTTGATTTGAAAAATTTCTAATGATGGAGGATCGACCACAAACCCTGGAAAATTGTTACAATGGCTAACCCTCGCTCTTAAAAATTTATGACTTATTTCTAGTCTGACTTTCCTAGTTTCAATTTCCAGCCATTGGATTTTGCTAGACCATTCTCTGCTAGACTGAAGAGCCCATTGTCAACTATTTGTTCTCTGTCTACATACATATAGAGTGTAATCACATCACCCCTTTTCTTTGGAGAGCTAAACAGATTGAGCTCGTTGAGTCTTGTCACTATAACACATGTTATCTAATCCTTTAATCATTCTGGTGCTCTTCTCTGAACCCTCTCCAGTTTGACAACTTCCTTCTTCAGTTGGGGACACCAGATATTCAAGCAAGAGATCCAAATATAGAGCTAATATAACCTCTATAGTTCTCATTAAGATCATCATGATGCCCTCTGGTTTGGGGCCTAGCGAACACTTTCCTACTGAATGGCTTGTGTGAGTTCCAGTGAAAGGGGTACAGTTTTTCTGAGAGAGAAATTGCATTCACCAGCAGGCCCCACCAATCAGCTCCTCCCCCTCCACCATAATGCCTCCTGCCCACCATTGATCAGCTCTGCTGCAGAGGGCAGAAGGTACTGGGGGGGAAGGAGGGAGGAGCGGGGGAAGGAAGAGACGGAATGAGGGTGGGCGCTCTTGGAAGTGGCGGTGGAATAGGGCTGGAAGAGTGGGAGCGGGAAGAGGTAGGGCAATGGTGGGGCCTTGAAGGAAGGGGTATAGTAGGGGCATGGCCTGGGGCAGAGAGGTTGTCAAGCACCCCCGAGGAAATCAAAAAGTTGGCACATGTGCATACACTGCCCCCACATGATTGCGTAACTGAATCGAACCTTAACAATGTCCCCTTCGTTTTGAAGTGAGAAATCAGAATGTGCCTTTTTAATATGGAGGAAATAGAAACTTTTGACTCTACTGAGATGCTTTTGCTTCTTTCTTGTTCTTTTTTTCATACAAAAAGATTTTTTCTACCTGAAATAGACACATTCCCATGGAAAGGTTCTACCAACACCTTGCTCTCATAGTGAATACACGAGACCGGAAGACAGACTATCTAGGTTCTATTTCCTATTGTAGCTGTTGTGTATTTGATTGTCGTGGTAATAGAATCTTGTGTTGCTATGGCAACTTAGTTAGATTATTAGGGGATAGCCCAGCCTGTTTGGGCTGGGTTTTGCTTAGTTCTGTGTGTAGCAATAAATGACTGCTCCAAGGTTTACAGCTCTCTGTGTCCCAGTGATTTCTTCCTAAAACTGTTGCCCCCAAGGATATAACAACATGGCGACAAGGATGGGATATCTGTGCTGCCCCAGCAACAGAAGGAAGTAGAAGTTAAGGTACAAAAACAAACAAACAAATAAACAAACCTTGTTTGCTGCTGGAAGGGGGTGAGAACTGGCTTGTTTGCTCTGACTGTGCAAACTGAAACTAAAATCATGGCTACACTTACAGGGCCACTGGAACCTTTTGAGGAGACTATAGTGCAATGGCACGTATATTCTGAGCGTTTTGAGCGTTTTGTTATTGCAAATGACATTACAGAAGAGAAGAAGGTGCCAATATTCTTAAGTGTTGTAGGGGCTAATACCTACTCCCAGCTACACATCTTACTACACCCTGTTAAGCCAGAGACTAAATCTTACAGTGACATTGTGGAAATCCTGGGGTCCCATTTTTCTCCCAAACCACTGATAATTGCTGAAAGTTATAGGGTCCACAAAAGAGACCAGAAAGAAGATGAAACAGTTGTACAATTTGTAGCAACTTTGAGAAAGCTTGCAGAAAACTGTGAATTTAAGGAGATGTTAAACGATGCCCTACGTGACAGGTTAGTGTGTCACCTGCACAGTGAAGCTATAAGGAAGCGCCTATTGACAGAGGCTCAGCTTATCTTACAGAAGGCCATTGATATTGCTGTCTCCCTGGAATTGACTACAAAGGAGGCACAATCCATTGGTGCATCCCCTAGGGTGCATAAGGTATCACAAAAACCTACCCACAAAACTGTGGGGAGTCAGGAATGTTACGGCTGTGGTAAGCCGGGTCGCCCTGCATCAGAATGCTGGTGTAAGGACCTGGTGTGTAGACACTGTGGCAAAAAGGGACACATTGAGTGTGACTGTAAACAAAAGAAAAAGACTTGTGGTCTAGCAGACCAAAAAGGGAAATCTGCATATCCTAAAGCAGACCCAGGATGACTAAGGAGATACCTCCTCACAAGGAGAAGAGCCACTCCACGTTTTGTCTTTGGCAATGGGCTCACATGAATACTGGGTAACCCCGTTGTTGGACGGCAAACCTATACGCATGGAACTGGACACTGGTGCAGCCGTCTCGCTGGTCTCCAAGACTGTGTATAAAGAAAAGCTACAGCATCTTCCACTTAAAGCAACAAAAACAGTGCTGAAGACATATACGGGAGAAGCTGTGCCCATGTTGGGCACTACTGATGTTAAGGTGAAACTCAATGGACAGGCTGCAAAATTGCCACTGTTTGTGGTGAGAGGTAATTAGCCAGCCTTAATAGGTAGGTCTTGGCTTAGGAAAATGCAGCTGAATTGGGCAGAAGAGCACCGAGTGACTAAAGAAGAAACTGGTCTGACCACTATACTAAGGAAACATGCTGCTGTTTTTGGAGAGGATCTGGGAAGTATGAAGGGAATCACTGTGACATTGAACATTAAACCTGACAATCCACCAAAATATCTGAAAGCCAGAACTCTGCCATATGCCATCAGGCCAAAAGTTGAAGCAGACCTGGAGTGCCTGGTCACAAATGGAGTCCTAATACCAGTTACCCATAGCCCATAAGCAACTCCTATTGTTCCAATAGTGAAGAAAGATGTCTCCCTCTGGATTTGTGGTGATTTTAAAGTCACTGTCAACCCAGTGTTATGTGCAGAGCAATACCCGCTTCCCCAAATCGATGACCTCTTTGCAGGCCTGGGGACAAAAGTTCAGTAAGATTGATCTGAGTCAAGCATATTTACAGATGCATGTCGATGAAAAGTCCCAAGAGCTGTTGACTATTATGACGCATAAGGGGCTTTATCGATACTGTCGCCTACCCTTCGGAATAACGTCTGCTCCCGCCCAGTTCCAGAGGGCTATGGACCAGTTCTTGTGTGGCTTGCCAGGAGTCCAGTGCTATCTGGACGACATCTTGGTCACTGGAAGGAATGAGGAGGATCACCTAAAGAATTTAGAGGCTACCCTACAAAGACTGGAAGAGTATGGCCTACGAGTCCACAAAGATAAGTGTGAATTCTTCCAGCCCTCTGTTGAACATTTGGGACACATCATTGATGCTACAGGTCTTCGTAAGGCCCCTGCCAAAGTTAAGGCTATTGTGGAGGCTCCTCCACCTCGAAATGTTAGCCAGCTGCACTCGTTTCTAGGACTATTGAACTATTATGGAAAGTTTATCTCACACTGCTAAAACCACTTCATGAACTCCTTGGGCAGAACAAGGCCTGGAAGTGGACTGAAGCCTGTGATGTTGCATTTAACAAAGCTAAGGATGCATTGCTAAATTCTGAAGTTCTGACACACTTTGATCCATCCTTACCCCTACAATTGGCCTGCGATGCCTCCCCTTATGGAGTGGGAGTAGTCGTGTCACACATTATGCCTTCGGGAGAAGAGAGACCTATTGCTTTTGCTTCACGTACTCTAAGCAAAGCAGAAACTAACTATGCCCAAATCGAACATGAGGCGTTGGGAATCGTTTTCGGAATTCAGAAGTTTCATCAGTACCTGTTTGGATGGAAGTTTACTCTTCTCACAGACCATCGTCCTCTGACTTCAATTTTTGGACTCCACACAGGCATTCCTCCATTAGCCGCTAGTCGTATGCAAAGGTGGACATTGTTGCTTTCTGCGCACACATATGAAATCAAATATTGGAAATCCACTCTGCATGGCAATGCAGATGGTCTCTCAAGGCTGCCTTTGCCGGTCAATCATTGAGATATTGCCCAGAAGGAAATCTTTTACTTTGAACAGGTAGAGAATACACCCATCACCGCTATTCAGGTAAAGAAGGCAACTCGGGTTTACCCGATATTGTCCTAGGTTATGGAGATGATGATGCATGGAACATCTCAACGAACCTCTCGGGTCTCACCCGACCTTGTTACCTACATGTCCAGGAGGATGGAGTTATCAATCCAATCTGGTTGTTTGTTGTGGGGGAGATGTGTCATTATCCCACCACCACTGAGATCACAGATGTTAGAACAGCTCCATTCTGGTCACTGTGGAATAGTGCGCATGAAGGAAATTGCACGAAGCTATTTTTGGTGGCCAGGGTTGGACAGTGCTATTGAAGAGGCAAGAGCTTGTATGTCATGTCAGGGTGTGAGTAATGACACCCCTACATCCATGGGACTGGCCTGAAAACCCGTGGCAACGTATTCACGTTGACTTCGCTGGCCACCTTGAAGGAAGCATGTTCTTGGTGGTGGTAGATGCCCATTCTAAATGGCCAGAAGTCTCTATAATGCACTCCACTACTGCAGAGAGTACTATCCAAAAACTACGAGGATTCTTTAGTCGTTTCGGTCTGCCAGAACAACTTGTGAGTGACAACGGACCGCAGTTCATCTCTCAGGAGTTTCAAAAGTTTATGAAGGCAAAAGGGATACACCACATCATTCAGCACCATATCATCCATCCACCAATGGATTAGCTGAAAGATTTGTGCAGACAATGAAACAAGCTTTGAAATTGGCAAGGGGACATTTATCCATTCAAAAGCATCTGGACACCTTCTTACTATCCTACAGAAACACAGCTCATGCTACAACCAAGGCATCCCTGGCCTTTCTAATGATGGGACAACAGCTGCGCACTTGCTTTGATCTGCTGAAACCTTCTGAACCCTGACAAATTGTGCAATGTCAGCAGCAAGATCAAGTCATCAGGCGTGCACCAAGAGCAAAAGACCAAACCTTTAGCCCAGGACAGCTGGTTTTGGCTTGGAATTATACTTCTGGAGCTAAATGGGTCCTTGCCACTGTCATCGCTCAAACGGGACCTGTTTCCTACACAGTCCGGACTGCAGAGGATCTCACCTGGCAGCGACATGTAGATCAGCTGTTGCAAGGTCATGCCAGTCCTCAGGACACATCTTCAGTTGAGTTGCCTGACTTCACCACCTCCGGCGAGACACTGAATCAAGAGTCACCTGTTCCTGACTTTTCCCCTCCATTACTGCCAGCGGCAGAGATACTCCTCTGCCCGGCACGAGCTGATACCCCATCCTCACCCCTTCGCCCTACGAACCCTTAGCCCATTGTCAGGCCCGCGCCCAAAACACTTTCAGGTGCAACAACACCAGAAGTCCGCTGTAATCCACCTAGAGACAGAAGGCCTCCTCATTGGCTGGATCTTTAGCTAGGGTAAACCCACGGTTACAGGGCAAAATAATCCCTGTGGCTTAGCCGGGAATGGAAGCAGTCTACCCTCCTTCTCTAGTTAGTGTTTGTTTTATTTTGGGGACATTCTTATTAAGGGGGGAGGAATATGTTGTGTATTTGGTTGTCATGGTAATAGATTCTTGTGTTGTTATGGCAACTGAGTTAGATTATTAGGGGATAGCCCAGCCTGTTTGGGCTGGCTTTTGCTTAATTCTGTGTGTAGCAATAAATGGCTGCTCCAAGGTTTACAGCTCTCTGTGTCCCAGTGATTTCTTCCTAAAACTGTTGCCCCCAAGGATATAACACTAGCAAACATTGCTTTGTGACTATCAGCACTTCCTTTGCATGGAGATTATCAAAAGAGCCTACACTGGGTGCTCTGCACAGGATGTGAGTTCCCAGGTTGGGGGAAGCTATTTGGTGAGGACAATTCTCCTTCCATCACGGAGGCACAGGGTGGAGTGTCTGCATAGTCAGGCACAGCACTAGCAACTGGGTCCTGCCACACTCACCATCCAGAGCCTTTTCACTCAATGAACATGTTCTGTTCCTTTAGAGCGTGGATGTATTTTTCTCTCATGCCCAACTTCCCTTGAACCCCTACCCTTCTGACTTTCTTTGCAAAGCACTGGTGAGGTCTCAGCTCGATGACATACCATGATTCCAGAGTAACCTCCTTTTCCCAGATGCACGGGGCATGCAATGATAGCATCCGTTCTGCAGTTGAAATTGTTGGAACCAAAACAGGGCACACAAAGTTTTGTCAAGTATCAGACCGTGTTAGTCTGAATCTGTAAAAAGCAACAGAGGGTCCTGTGGCACCTTCAAGACTAACAGAAGTATTGGGAGCATAAGCTTTCGTGGGTAAGAACCTCACTTCTTCAGATGCAAGTAATGGAAATCTCCAAAGGCAGGTATAAATCAGTATGGACTGTAAGTATTGAGTAAAGTAGGCAGACTCACCCATTTGCTCCAGGAGTTCCTCTGCAAAAGAAAAATGGGGAGGAGAAGAAAACAGTTCAGTGTATATCCATTGACTTATTTACTGAAGAGGGTGAATGATTCTTTGATGATTAGCATAATTTGGCCATGTGTAGTGAGCTAGCTATTCAATCTATGGGCGAGCCCCATCCCTATCACACTATGTAGTAGATAGAGAAGATTATAGTCTTGCTTTAATCAATTTAAGAAGAAGCTTCATGGCCACAACTAATTAGCAAAAGCTGAATATGACACACTATGCTCCTCTGCTAATATGGATTCTGCTATGAAAGGAGCAGTAACACCATTTACATCATGTGCTGTACTCCATTTGCTGTTTCAATAAAGAGTGCTCTCAATATGTAGGTTGTCTTTCATACTGTGTCTCTGCAATAGTGTTATGGTTCTTAGAGAATACAAACCAGGAGTGGGTGAGTGTATTTAAATTTCAACTATGTATGAGCACCAGTGCTCAGAACCAGCAAGTGCTCATATATGTTATTGACAAAATTAGCCAAGTAAGCTGCTGTATCAAAAACAGGAAAGTTGGGTAAGGTCTAATAAATCAATGATTTTTCTTTTCATTCTACAAGACTCCTACACAGCAGTAGAGCACACAGAAGAAAAAGGACACAGACTTACTTATTTTCTTTTCCAAGTCTCCTAAAAAAGAAAAAAAATATTTAAAGATAACAATAGCACCTTTTGTAATAATATGGACAAGAACAAGGGTAACTAATAGTTAAAATATCAAAAGTTGTATTTATTGGAGAATAGCTGTGAGGGAGCAAGTGACAAATTAAACTTCATTTTGTCTAAGGCTAGAAGGAAGCACTCTCATCATCTATAACATGGGCCAGAGAACTTCTCCCACACAATCTTGTTAGTATTAGAGAAAATCCTATAGAAAAAAAAAAGCAACAATCTTGATTTGAAAAATTTCCAGTGATGGAGGACCCACCAGAACCCTTGGTAAATTGTTATTATGGGCAATCACCCTCACTCTTAAAAATGTGTGCCTTATTTCTAGTCTGACTTTCCTAGTTTCAATTTCCAGCCACTGGATTTTGCTAGACCATTCTCTGCTAGACTAAAGAGTGAATTATCACATATGTGTTCTGTATTTACATACATATAGAGTGTAATCAAGTCACACCTTCTCTGTGGTGAGCTAAATAGGTTGAGCTCTACATGTTATCTAATCCTTTAATCATGCTGTTCTCTGAACCCTCTCCACTTTGACAACTTCTTTCTTCAGTTGGGGACATTAGAACTGAACACAGTATTCCAGCAACAGAGCCAAATTCAGAGCTAATATAACCCCTATAGTCCTAATTAAGATAATTCCCATGCCCTCTGGTTTGGGGCCTTGTGAACACTTTCCTACTGAATGGCTTGTGTGAGCTCCAGTGAATGGGGTACACTAGAAATTGCAGTCACCAGCAGGCCCCACCAATCAGTTCCTCCCCCTCCAACCCAGCACCTCTTGCCCAATACTGATCAACTCTTCTGCAGATGGCAGGAGGCACTGGGGGGGAGGAGCGGGGAAAGGAAGAGGCGGAATGAGGGTGGGGTGCTCTTATGCGAGGGTATGTAATGGACAGGGAGAGGCAGAGTGGGAATAGGAAGAGGGGGGCAGGGGTGGGACCTTGCGGGGAGGGGTATAAAAGGGATATAGAAGGGGCAACTTATTGCCAAAGAATGTTGTGAAGGCCAAAAATATAATGGGGTTCAAAAAAATAAAGATCAAGATAAGTTCTTGGAGGATAGCTCCTTCAATGATTATTAATCAAGATGGTCAGTGATGCAAGCCAGTGCTCTGGGTGTGCCTAAGCCTCTGACTATCAGAAGGGACTGGATGACAGGGAATGGATCATTAGATAAATTCCCCTTCTGTTCATTCCCTCTGATGCATCAGGGACTGGACACTGTCAGAAAACAAGATACTGGGATGGATGGATTATTGGTCTGACACAGTATAGCTGTTCTTTTGTTGCTTCCCTAGAGCCTTTGTTCCCTGTCCACAGTAAAGATCCCTGTGTTATACTGTTATTTTTGAGTGTGGCCTTTCATTTGTTGGGACTTATATTAGTGTATTGTGTTGTTCATGTGCTGGGTTATATTTCTTGCAAATAGATAAGTAGAATTAGTCATTTCCCCAAGAGACAGCACCCCTGTGTCCCAAGCACAGACAGGAGTTACCTTGGGTGGAGGCACCAGGCACTGAAATAAAGAACCCAGGAGGGAAGACAAGCTACTCTGATTAGCAAGCAGCACATAGGAGGCTTAAGCCACCCAGGGGTAGGAAGGAAGGGGGCTACATGAAATACAATGTTGGCATTTCCCTCAGAGAGCTGTCTCTGCAGCGGGGGGGACTGAATGAGCCTCTGACTCCTGTGTGTCACAACAAAACTGGCAGGGAGTCAGGGACTGCAGGGGATGGGGAACTCCCCTGCTGCCAGTGACAGGTTTGATTCTGAACCCAGGCTTCAAGCATGCATAGGTACCCCTCCCTTTTAAGGGAGCTGGGAGCCCTAGTAAAATGAAGAATCACCCATTATTCATACTTTTATCAAAAATGGAAGACAAGTTTTTGTTTAAATTTCCAGAAGAAAAACAAAATAATTGCATTTGAGGAAAGGCAGTGACTGAGCACTTGCAACTCCAACTGTGGTTATTTCACTAAATTATGAGGAAATGATAACACTGGTCTACAATTTTTGAGAAGTCGTCTGCTTCAGAGATAAAATGTGCTATTTATTATGTATTTTGATGTGCTGAATTCAAATATGACAATTAAAACAACTGATTGGCTACTGTTGCTAAGATATTTAAGTTTTTATATTTTATGTCTATGTATATTGTGTAGATAGAGTTTTAATCATAAATTGTAAACCTAGGTCTTTTCATGTGTTTATGGTTGCTTTACAGGATAATATTTCACCTGTCCTGTTTATGTAACACTTTAAAAATCAGCAAAAGGGTTATATAAATTAAATTTATTATGAAACAAAAGGCAAAAAAAACTGTACATAGTTTAGTCCTATTCAGTGTCTACTGGATGCTTCTTGGCTTGTCTCTTGTATTCATTAAATGGAGCATCTCTTGTCACTGTCCAGCAATAGTCTGCAAGCATTGATGGGCTCCATTTGCCCTGATAGCGTTTCTCCATTGTTGCAATGTCCTGGTGAAATTGCTCGCCGTGCTTGTCGCTCACTGCTCCGCAGTTCAGTGGAAAAAAATCTAGATGAGAGTGCAAAAAATGTATCTTTAGTGACATGTTGCAACCAAGGCTTTTGTATGCCTTGAGGAGGTTTTCCACCAACAACCTGTAGTTGTCTGCCTTGTCGTTTCCGAGAAAATTTATTGCCACTAACTGGAAGGCTTTCCATGTCATCTTTTCCTTGCCATGCAGTGCATGGTCAAATGCATCATCTCGAAGAAGTTCACGAATCTGAGGACCAACAAAGACACCTTCCTTTACCTTAGCTTCACTTAACCTTGGAAATTTTCCATGGAGGTATTTGAAAGCTGCTTGTGTTTTGTCAATGGCCTTGACAAAGTTCTTCATCAGATCCAGCTTGATGTGTAAGGGTGGTAACAAAATCTTTCTTGATTCAACAAGTGGTGGATGCCGAACACTTTTCCTCCCAGGCTCCAATGACTGTCGGAGTGGCCAATCTTTCTTGATGTAGTGGGAATCTCTTGCCTTCCTATC